TGTACAAACATATACATATATATATATACAAATATATACATATATATGCAAATATACATATATATATATATATACAAATATATACGTGTATATACAAATATATACATATATGTATACAAATATATACATATATGTACAAATATATACACATATACACATATACACAAATATATACATACATATATATATTCGTATATGTAATTCATAAACATAAACGCACACACGCAAGACACACACACATACAGAAAACCTTTCGACAGTATGCGATATTTATACCACATAGATGCATGATACCTACTCTGAGCTTAAAATTTGAGGAAAAGGCAGGGAAGATCCGCTAAAAAGCGTCAAACTGTGTTGGAAATCAGCACATATCAAGAATCGTAAAATTCAGCATACGAAATAATGATAAATACTATATATAAATTAGCAGACTTGACGCAGAACAGAGGATGGTGTAACCCTCGTCATTAGACGCAACCACTTCGCTGCTACTGAATGTTTTTATGCATGATTTTCACATCACTGTCTCTCTATGATTTTTCGAATATGGTTGTCAAAAGCAATGAATATGAAGGTTTATGACGCCTTTTCAAAGCATTTTCACTCCCTTTGTTTGCACGTCGTCAGTTTCTCATGAAATGTCTTTGTAAGGGAGAATCCACATATAACAAAGGAGGAATGGGAATGGCTACGGTCCGTGGATATCAATACCTGTAGTCCTCCAACACCGGTGCAGTTCGTCTTTCATGCAGCGCTTGTTGGTGCAGCATCTCGTCTACTTCATGATCTCGATATAGACACTGATCTCATACCAAGTCAACGTCTTTATCGTCTTCAAGTTTTTCAATTGCAGTTCGACGTTTCGTTCATCATTGTAAGTCACTTTTTCATTCACCATGCATTTTTCCACGATTTATACGGAAAGACTGATTTGACGATATCAAGTCTATTTAGTCTGTGTGTGTGTATGTAATGTGCTCTGGATAATTAAAATGTGAAATTACTGAAAGTGGTAGGCTTGTTTTTGAGGAACGAAATCCATAAATTCATACGAATTAGTTCGCATCTGTCTCTATATCTTTTAGCCTACCCAACTTCAGATTCAAATAACTTTTATAGCTCAAAAAAAGAACTCGAACTTGAGATTTTAAGCATCAAATTCACCATTGCTCAGTGCATGTTGGATATTTAAAATTCAACCGTCAGGATCATAGTTATGCGCCTTTGCATATATGCAAATGCGAAAACGCGTATTGTGACGACCAGTGGTGTTTGTGTGCCCGTGTCTGTATGTGTGCGTCTGTCCTAGTATTTCAACTTGACAATTAAGCAAGTTCCGGCTCTGAAATTTTGTTAGTGGGTTCCTCGGCGAAGTGCCACCCCAGGATCTCGTTTCCAGCCTTTACACACGTCTGGGCTTTGTGTACGACCACGCAAAATTTTTCGCGGGTAAGCTGCTAACTCGGGGACCCGAAAAACTAGAAAGCTGAAATTTTAAGCAAATGTCTCGCATCCCCACAGAACTTTAATGTTTCAAATTCAGCCTCCGGGGGCGTGTTGTTCTCACGTAGGGGCCCGCGAAAATTTTTGACGGGAGAATTGCTAACTCAGAAATCAAAAAAGTTAGAAAATTGAAATTCTGAGAGGATGTTCCTCGTCCATGTAGAACTTAAAGGTTTTAAATTCAGCCCCTAGCTATGCGTGTTTCTTACGTAGTACGAACACTCGAGAGTTTTGGCGGGAAAACTACTCACTGACTGACCAGTTCCTTTTCTAAAACCGACCGTTAATTGGAATTTGTTCACTTTCTTCTATGAAAAATTTACAATGATTTACGCTAGTGAGCGAATAAGATAAATGTAAAGCAAGAATCATTCATATAGCTAATGGCCTGATTGCTTCAAATATAGTGCAAAAACGCATGATCGCACTGGCAGCCTGGTGCGCTCCAGCCCATTTTGGTCTTCAACCCTAAATTCAGATTTAGACTTATTCTCTTATTCAGCATTGGAGTGAGCTGGAAACAAAAAATTTTGGGTTTCCTGTGCACAAGAAGGCATGATTGGCCGAAAACCATCTTGGGATATCCGTTTGCTTTCTAACTAGTGTGTTTGATATTCAGTCTCATTTCATAATTTCAGAACCTGAAAAATAAAGCAAATTGTGGTTCTAAAACCCCGAAATATTACATGTAATGAACAGTTGAAAAGCTGTTCTTACGGAGTGTAACTGACCCTGTTGTGTGTTTGGCTCATCCGTTTCCTTTGAGTGACTAGCAGCATTGCTCAGAAATGCACAAATGCAGTTATTTATTGACGTATAACGCTGCAGTTCTTTCAGTTCATTGTAATTTTGATCAAATGTCGTCTCCTGTATTTTGAAAACCAGATCAAATGTCGTATCCTGTATTTCTTTTACTCCAGCAACTCCCCTGTTCTATCTTGTGTTGGTCAGATATCGTCCCATAATATCTTATTCTGAGCTAAATCATTTTTTCCTCGTATATTTCAGTGTTTAATTTCGCCAATACACACGTTTCAGTGTTTAATTTCGCCAATACATCCCACTGCTAGCTAATATCTACTCTCTGCGTAGCTTAATAACTCTGCTTGAACCCGATAACTTAGCATTTAATGTTAAAAAAATATGGGCAAAAAGCACCTGAATCAACATCGATTTAGAAATTTTGACCCACTAGCTATAAAATATCAATAATTTATCAACCATAAAATCTCAAAAAATAGCTTTGCGAGCAAATTGCTTCGGCTTTGTCTAAGTACTGCGGTTAGTTCGTTCTGCAGGGTAGAAGCTGATGAAAATGTGTCAGCTAAAAGGGCATGCATCCATGGGTAATCATTCTTCAAAAATTATAAATTAATCTTGGCTGTTAACCTGTGGACACATAATGTGCTGGAGTAAAAGAAAAAAAGATTTCGGAACAATTTTTTGCTAATTTGCAGCTGCTACCAAAAATTGAAGATGTTTGTAGCGCACCGAGCTATTCACCGTTAAAATCATTGCCTGTTCAACAAGGATGCCTCATACTTCCACTGCAAGTCTTCGAAACGAGTTTGCTTTTTTTCTAATGCGTCATTTCTTCTGCACTGCAAATTTTTTCCTGTTAAGCAGTGATTTCCCCTTTTCAGAATTTGTAATTTATTCAGTGGTCAGTTAGTCTACGCTTCGGTCATATCCCCAGTGAATGTTACTTGATAGCTAATTACTTCATTTGCCTGTTTGTCCTTTAGCCAGTGTTTTTGAAATACCCGCTGTAATAACGGCTGAGCTTTTTCAGTTCATTTTTGTGCGTACAGTCCGGAATTCATCAGCACTTATTGTCGTTTATCTCTCTTCATCGAGCACTTTTCAACGGTTAGTGTAGAAAATTTACATTGCAGATCAAAATACACCACTGTTACTAATGCAGTGACAAGTGTTTGTATAGCACATAAAGCGGTCGTAAGCTGAAATTTTAGAACCTCGTTATTTGAACTGCAGCCGTGAAAATTAAATCGCCGGGACACTTCTTCCATGCTCTATTCATAATCTCGCCTACACACACTGTCCTCAGATGTTTTTCGAGATTTATAAAGGCACTCCAGTTCCGTTCCACTGCTCTCCCATACAACTTCGCCGTTCTGCCTTCATCAGTGGCAACATTTCAAATTTATACGTTAGTGCCTTTAGTACAGCAATATTTGAAGGAATGAGCACAGACTTTCAGGTTCGACGCTTTAAAGACATTTAGTCAGCTAGCAGCCCTTCTACACACCATCTTTAACTAAAAGTGATGCATATTGCCGTGTTGTAACGTCAGTCGCTACCTAGAATACGGCACAGGGCTCTTGCAACATGTATAAAGGTGTTAGTGACTTCTCCACCTCACTTCGGCTCATTTGTTTAGCCGTTATCACTCTAACATTATTATTAGCAAACAATACAGAAGTCTCCATCCTGATTCTCGGACTATTTATAGTTCATCCAGTATGAACAGAGAAACAGCCTCTTGGAAAGAGATATACGCGTCTATGGCGATATACTTGCAAAACTCAGCGAATTCCAGCAAAGGTCAGTAACTCTTCTTTTGAGAGTGTACATATTTCCGACGTACATACTCATTTATCCGATTTTTTTGATTCCGAAAGTCTTCAGGTTGGAAAACATCTGGAAATCAGTGAGATGGATTGGAAATGTTGCGTCCACAGCACGCGATAAACAGGCTAAATGCGCAGTACCACTGGGACGTTTGTTTGCGATCACCAATGGACTCGACGACAATGGCTACCACAGTGACCAGGGAACCAGAAGTGTAAGTAAAACACGTGGATCCAAAGCTTCCCGCTACTTCAGTCGCTTGTGTGGGTCGGCATTAGGATGCGCAAGCTAAGAATTTGACAGCAATCCAACTGATTAATGATGAATTACTGTCTTCAGGGTTCAACGAGCTCGGGCAGCACACTGCACCTTGATGTTTCTGATTTGCGTCCTCGAAGTGCCAGCTCAATTGGAGACTCTCCGTCTGAACCCTGGCTCGATGAATGTTTCCAACCACGAAAAGCCCACGTCTCAACCGGTGTGATCAAGGTTTACGCTGCTTATCAATGTGGCCTTACAAGTGGGACGTCGGTCCGACTTCAGGTGGCATCAACAACAACCGCACGCGAAGTAGTGGCTCTTGTTGTAGAACAGTTAGCTAAAGCGGCAGCTGAATGCGGAAAAATAGTGGGGTCTATCGACCCGGACGACTTTTGTTTGGCAGCTGTAGTTGGCTCCAGGGAACGCAGACTGCGGGATGACTTCCCGCCAATGAAATTACAGAATCCTTGGGCTGAAGGTCGCTTGTTCGTGAGGCGTCGCGACAGCGTCCTAGCAGCTCTGCAAAAGGGTAATGAAGCAGTCGTTTGAATACCCCGTTGCGCGAGCTGGCATATGAGGAATGTGTGACTGTGTTATGAATAAACAACGTTTCCTGTGTAGGAATTATTGTATTTCAGTTTTAAAAAGTACTGTAAGCGCAATCGGATTAAAGCGACCTCATTCTGCATGTGTGGTACGATTGAATGATAAACAAAATGACTTCTCGGATAACTGCTGCTCTTCCGTCCGATTTAGCACTGTTCAGTTGAAATGAGGAGAAAAAAGCAAGGCTCAAAAAAAAGAAAAAAGAAATCGCGAAAGGAAGTCGAAACTGGTGTAAAGCTATACAACAAATGATTGCTAACGAAATAAATCAGTATGAATGACGATAATCATAATAATAATAGTAATAATAATAATAATGATAATGACGATAATAATAATAGTAATAAATAATAATAATAATAATAATAATAATAATAATAATAATAATAA